GTGTACTCTGGATGGAAAATCTCATTTTGTATGCTGTAATGATGTACAGTGAATTAATGCTAATAAATAAATTGAAATAAAAAAAAATTGCTCAAATCTCTGAATAGCCAGCATTCTCCTAGATCTGCAGTTGAGCTCAACACATTCAAGCCTCAGCACAATCTTCTTTGTAGTTTTTGCCTTTTTCAAAAAAAAAGGCTTAGTCTGTCCACCATAGACACTGCTTCCTGTTATAATGCTGCTGTCCCTGAGCACACAGAGAATCCTCGCCCTTTTTGTACTGTGTCACTTTACGAGGTTGGTGCTTGCCACACGTCTTACAGAAGGTCCAGCGTGTTTTAGGGATGTTCACCATGCTTATAGGCCTGCTATCTGCACGAAAACGACTCGGGTCCTCCAGGGTAGTTTCTAACTCAGCACTTTATCCATATTTTGTTCAGCTCCAAGCTTTAAGACATGCTGTTGAGTTCGGCCTTAATCCAGAAAAACCTCATCAGTCACTTGATACAACCCAGAAAACCATCAATGAATATAAATCAGAAATTTGGTGAGTAAAGAATAATTTTAACTACTGTTTTTTTTTCTATCAGATATGTACTTGTTTAGAATTTATTTTTCCAGATAGTTTTCCTAATGTAGCAAATACATGTAAAATTATGCAAACTGAAATAATGAAATGATGTATCCTTCATATTAACAAAAAGTTTGACGTTCGGTAATACAAATGAGAATATGTGACAGCGGTCAGGCAGGGAAGCTGCCGAGCAGACTGCAAGCTGCAGGTGCCCGTCAGCTCGGCCCCAGCAATTCTGCTTAGGTTCGTGCATGTGCTGGAGGAAGCTGTGTGCATGCACACACATGGAGAAGTGTGCAAGGCTGTGCTCACTTACAAATCATGGAACCAAAGTGGATAATTTTATAGTTGATGTCAATACTACCATGGTCAAAATGATTAAATTAGTCTGCATTTATCAACACCGAACGAAAGATATCCGGTTGTAATATCCACTGAGTGACACATGTTAGAAAGCCTAAAGAACACCAGCAATGGTACTCGTTTACTGTGAATCCATATATGTGTGGCATAAACATGGGAGAGACACGTGCTAGCTGCCTCCTGGGAGAGCGCGAAGGGGTGGAATGAGAAAGGTCTTCCCGTGTGTGTGTGTGTGTGTGTGTGTGTGTGTGTGTGTGTGTGTGTTCACAATCTCCTGGGTAAATGAGGCAAATGTTCATAGTTGTTCACATTATTTATTATCTGTGCTTTGTTTTTTGAGTTACTCTTAATTTTAAAATTCAAAAATGGAAACCCTGGTCATTAGCAAACAGTAAGGAAGTGTACTAACATCACTTAAACCCCATCCCTCAGAAAAAAATCAAGGCTAGCAGGCTTTTTGGTAGTTCTTCCATCTGTCCTATCTACCTCCAGCCTACCTGCTTACCTACCTCTCTATCTGCAGAGGAAGAAGACATCCTAATCCCAAATCAGAAATGCTCCCAAATTAGAAACGTTTTGAGTAATGCCAACATGACACCACAGACTGAAAATGTTGTGTCTGATCTCGTGTGATGAGTCACAGTCAAAATTCTCTAGTACGGGTGCCAGCAGTGGTGGTGTGGTTAGGGTGCTAGACTCCCATGTGGCTGACCACAATTCAAGTCCCAGACCTGGCAGCTGAAACTCATGCTGGACCCATGTGCGTGGGTACCCCAAATCCCGAGGAGAATGGAGAAGGGACTGCAATGTTGCCTTCCCCCTGGGTGATTTCTCACTTTCTGTCTGTCTCTCTGGCAAATGCACCCTGTACAAAAATCTCCCTTTAAAAATAAATAAATAAATAGAAACCTACAATACAAAAGTATTGTGTAAAATTATCTCCAGACTATATAAGGCATATGTGAAATAAAAATGAGTTTAGTGTTCAGACTTGGGTCTCATCCCCAAGATTCCTCTCTATTCATATGCAGGTATTCCTAAGTGTGAAAAATTCAAAATCCAAAATACTCTGGTTCCAAGCATTTGAAATAAGGGATAAACTGTCTATCTACCTATATCTATCTATCTGTCTGTCTCTTTATATGTGTATACACAGACATATGCATACACATAAAGTGTGTATTATGTGTATATACTCACATACATATACATACAGATGTGTTTATATGCATTTTTTTAATGAATCATACTGTGTATACTTTTCTGCAACTTGATTTTTTTATGTGCAACATGCCTTAGACCTTTTCCTGTTACAGTATATCTAGGTCTGCATCATTGTTCAAAAGCTAGCAATATGTAAATTTATTATATTGAGTTGTTGGGAAAATCATGACACATTTTTGCATGGAAAAACAGAAAAAAAATTATAACTTTTCTGACAACCTGATAGTTTATACTATCTCCAACTGACAGACATTTGTATTGTTCCTACTTTTTTATTATTTAAATTGTAGTGTAATTATAATCTCTATGTTTATATTTATATGTCTGTATGAATATTCCCACAGAACAAAATCTTAGAGCAAGAAATAGTAAGGATTCTCAATGTACTGTATTTTTCTTTCTACGGAGTAGCCATGAGTCTGACATACTTCCAAGTGAAAATTAGCAAAGTGAAAATTAGTGAAGTTTGTACATTGTAAATAAAATGAAAAGCAGCAAGTGAAAATGAGTGAAGTCTGTACATTATAATTGCAAAAGTATGAGGAATACGTTTAAAATGAAAATCCTTTTTCACATTACAAACAAAACATCGCAACATGCTGTGGAAACAGTCCTGTACAGGGTGGGTGGGTGGGAGCACGTCGACACAAAGCCCTTCTGAGACGATCACAGTCTCACGCGGAACTGTATTTGTCCCTCGCTGTTTGGAAGCCAGCAGACTGTGTTTCAGCAATGCCAGGTGGACTCATAAATTGCAGACTCGTTGCTTTATTTCCATGACCCTGGAGATGAAAACTGAAATTTAGCCTTTATGACCCAGTAAAAGAGGACATTTCAGTTCTTTACTGACTTTTTACTGGGCGATAAATTCTAGCTCATGATCTGTTCCTAAATACCTCTTCCAGTGGACTGATTTCCTTAAACCCTGTGTGACCTGCCGATCAGCCACCCCCTAAGTATGGGCGGAGCCCTCAGTTGGTGCAGTCACCCTGGACTGGTACCATTTTAAGCATTTTCCATTGATTTTTCATA